AGTCATTCCTATTTACCTTTTCTGGTGAATTCCTGGGCAGCAAAGCACAGCTGTTTGCAGTGTGGTGTTTCACGCCATCTGTTCCCAGCTGGTGATCCCTCTCCCAAGGGCCTCTTCCCACCAGGTCAGTGGGGTAAGTTCGGTCGCTGTCATTTCTCCACACTCAGTAATGCTCCCATCTAACCTGCTTCCCTGGGAAGGCAGCTCCAAACTCCAGCAGGACTCAGTGGCAGGATCTGTCATCACTTGCAGTACAATTTATTTCCTTACGCCTGGTCATTGCAGCTTACAATAAGGCTGTTTGTTTGTCATCTCTAAGATTCTCTTCTTAACTGTGTCCTAACACCTCCAGCACTGCTTTACCTCTGGCAGCTGAAACTTCGCTGCAAGAAAACTAGAACAGCAAGACTGTGCTGACTGCTAAAGCTGGTCCACAGGTCCACAACAGGAATCAATCCTACTGATGTCCAAAAGCAGTGCTACTCCCTTCGCCCTAAAAGGTAGCAACTGAAGCAGTTGAATATACCGATGCTTTGAGTCACATCAATGAGCAGATCACAAAGCTTCCTCCTTGTCTGCTAGATTTATGAGCTCTCCTGTATGGGTCTTTTCTGCTTCCAAAATGAGTTTTCCTGGGCCTTACCTGCCTGGTTTCTCCATGACTGTTGCGTTTTCTCAACAGGAAGATAAGGATGAATTTTTTTGGCCTGAGGATTTCCCTTGGAAAAGTGGCTGTGGAAAGGGAGAGCAGCTTCTTTCAGAGCAAAGGGAATGTTCTAAGGCTATCAAGATGATGTCCCTTTCCCTCCCGGCTGTAGCAGAAAGTATGTTTAAATATTAGTATAGTCTCACCAATTTGGGCTTGTACTGGTTTAATTGGGTTAATTATGGCAGTGGAAATTCACTCTACCCAAATAATTACACTAGCACAAACACCTTGTGGGGCAGGCTTGATATGCACTTAGAGGACATTTGCCCTAAGTACCAAGCATTTGAGAAGTAGCCAGGTTTGGGCTAGTTGTTCACAGGGTTTGCAATAGGAAGGGTAGAAGGACAGAGAGCTTCAGCTCTCTTACACCACAGCTGGCCGGTCGCTGGCTCTCACACAGCACCGGCTGGCTCTGCGTGCAGCCTGCTGCAGATGCCCTGAGAGGAGGGAGGGGATGCCAGGCCAGCAGGATCACCGTTTCAGAGAAAAGCACTTGCTCTTCTCACCAAGAGGACCACGTCTTCCTACACAGACTCTGGAGGTCTGAAGACACCCCTCCCCTCTCCCACAGGCACTTTTGTAGTGGTTCCATGTCCCTCTAAGATTCTACCATGGTCACAAGGCACGGCCAAGGGCACTGTTAACATCACCTCCACTTTTGACTCTGTCTGGAACACATGTTGGTATCAGCAAGTCCAACCAGGCAGAGGTGGGTGAGCGTCTCTGAAGGAGAACGGGCTCCAACCAGGTGCCTGCTGGCTGAACCCACCTTGCAAACAGTGCGGGTTTGGCAGAATTGAATGTCTGAAAGCAGGACAAGCATAAAATATTCCAGGTAGGAACAATAACCAAGTGTGATAGGCATGAAGGCACAGAACCCAGAGTTCATTAAGGTAGTTTTTGTATTTTGAAAAGCAATATTAAAAAACACTGAAAAATGCAAGATAAATGTAACAGTTGCTTCTACAAGTTTTAACCTTGTATTGCTTGGCCATTTTGACATATAAATTATTGCTTACTAGCTCTCATAAATACACAACACAGTAATATGTACAGAGGCAGACAAGCATGAAATATGAAAAAGAAAACATTGGCAACATTGATTCTGGTAAATCAGACAGTTTCATACATACCAGGTCCCGTAATGGTGGATAAGTACTAGCTGCAGTCCCTGAGAATTTGGGGTTTTCTCTTTTATCACTGTTAATGCAAGATGACAGCATTATGGCACTCAGAGAGAACATAACAGGCAGGTGTTGCTACCTCAGCTCATTGACTTCATCCCAGTATTTCTTAACAGTGTAATAAGATGGCAATAAATAGGCTATGGAAATAAATATTTCTCCGCTAAAATGTTTAGTATTTACATCTTTGTACTTTTACAGCAGCGCACGTCTTTTTGTATCTAGTAACACTTTTTCTTTTTGCCACTGTCATGCAAATGGAATTTAGTACTATCTCAGGATGGGGCTGGAATCAAAAGGATGTGACATGGAAACATCTAAATTTGATGTAGAAAAATCCCACATCAAATCACTATAGAGTGACCCACCTTTCTACTTTGTTTTGTCTCATTACTCCTCCTAGCTACTCAAGAAAACATGCAGAAAATATAACCCCGGGTGTGACTGTGGTGGACTGAATATAAGAGATTCATGGATTTTACCTTATGCAACACAATTGTGCTGCTGCGGGGGGGAAGTACGATTAAAAACCACAGTACTGCCAGTTGTAAACATGGGAGAGGCATTGTAGCATTCCCTTCTCTTTCACAGGGTTTATTTCTAACTTTCCTCCCACACGTCACATCTTCAGTCTGCTCGCCAGCCTGAAGTCCAGCTCTGCAATACTTCGGCTGTCAAATGAAGACTCTAATAGGCCTTTATTTGTTAGGCACATGAACTGAAGATTCAGGCTTTTCCTTTATATTATACAGTTAATCCAGTTAAAAGATCCACATTCTCAGTGTGGAAACACATGCACCCAAGTCGGCCCCTCAGACCTGAAAGTTGTATCTAAACAGCAAAGGCAACTATGAAGACTGGTTTGTAGTGTTTTAAACAACAGTCCAATTAGCCAGGACACAGATTGCAGAGTTAAGGTTGTCTTTGTACCTTCAAACAGACTTCATACCAGCTGCCATGGGTAGACATACCAGGGTTAGTATTTAGTTACAGTGCTGCAGAGAGCTGATTCCTACCCTGGCCTGGAGCGTGCCGGAACACAGTTGGCCCATCAACGTAGTTCAGAACTGGCAGAGTGAGGTGCCCTCAAGCTGGCTTTAGCAGACTTTCAAATCAAAGCTTGAGCATGGAGTCTTTTTTCTTCTTTTTTCAATTCACTTTTTAAATTTTTTTCTGGCTGCTGCACCAGCCGTAATTACTAGAACTACTGCAGAACCAAGTGCAGGGAACTGAGAGTCAAGCCCATTTTCTTACACTGGAAACCTTCCTATGCTCTTATCTCCACAGATTTCAACAGAACAATCTGTGGAATAAAGTTACTCCATATGAACCAAAGCACACAGTCAGGTTCACATTCAGGCTCCCGAAAGCTGTGCTGCAGAAAACAGGATTTCACAAGGGGGAGCTCAAGAACCAGCCAACAGCCCCAGCAATGCAGGGTGGATTCGGAGAGTGCTGTAGCCAGAGGAAGAACGGCAGCAAAACAAGAAACAAGCACTGTTTGTGGGTTGTGTTCTTACACTGCAAAAAGCAGTCCACTCCAGCTAGGATCCTGATCTGAACAGTTTCGGTCTGTTTGCACAAAAGGAGTTATTTACAGTATGTGCAGTCACATCTACAGAAGAACATAGGAAATTTTTACTCCATGGCCAGCAAGAGTTTATTTGTTTTTCTTTTTACTGGGTAAAAAGATTTTTTTTTTCTAAAAAAAAAAAAAAAGTAACATATAGTATTTGATAATAACAAAGTACAAGCAAATACATTTCTGAAACATTTGTTTCCTTTACAGTAGTTCTATACAATATTTCACAGATGGGAAAACTGAATGCATCCTACAGATTTCCCGACAGACTATGTGTTAAAGCTGTGTTTCTTAAATCTCCCTACACCAGAGTTTACACACCGATGAAAGAGCATGCTACTTTAGGGGGCCCACCTTTCAGTAAGGGAGCATTTTCTTGGAATTCTTCCTGATGTGGAAAATATACAATAGACACAGGAAAGCGAGGCATCGCATCCTCCCTGCTCTGCAAAGGGACTGTTTCTGTATGTTGGTGCACAGAGCAGAGAAGCACACTGCACATTGCCTGTGGCAATATCTAAAACTATCTGTGACTGTTACAGGTATAACCATATCTGAAAATAATCTGTATTTCAGGGTAACTCCCTAGCGCTGAAGACCACAGCTAAGATGGCAGGATGCTAAGAGGTGGGTATTCAAGGGCCAATTTAAGAAATGCTCTCTCAGAACATGCCCATAAGTACTACTTTTAGCTCATGATAACTGGCTAGGAGAGAGGTGAGGGAGAGAGACAGCGGTACTGAAGGGACTGTAACACTGAGAGCCTGGTGTGTACGTGGGTAACGACACGGAGAGCCTGTAAGATGCACTCACTTGTTCCCTAAGAACTAGAAGTGCGTGCAAGTTAAAACAGAGTATTTCCAGGATGTTACTAGGTACACAGGGACATAGGCATTGCCCCTGAATAGACTCGGAGGAGGCCAAAACAGCTCCCGCTATAATAATTTACAGCATGTTAACTGAAGGAGCTAGTACTGAGAAAAGGGAGAAAATAAAAGTTTTAGTATACAAACAATTCTGTCCATAAACTGCAACAAAAGTAGGTTAGCTCTGATAGTGTGTTTTATAAAGCAGACTCTTAAGGGGCTATAACAGCATGAACTGTTCACTTCTGCCCTCCAAATTATGACACACAAGTGAGTCTCATATGGTGCACTGTCTTTTTATACTCCCATTCGTGGTTGTCCACTCTTATCTCAAATAAGATGCTCTGTTGGACTCAGGAAAGCTGCACGGATTGCACAGTATTTTTGGCAACAAAACTTTGGCAGCCTTGAATTAGTGAGGTGCGTACTGTGGTGAACTGCGAATCCCTTCACAGCATGTTGCTTGCTGAAATGTTTTGTGGCGGCCACATGGTGCTTCCTTTCCCTCTAATACTGTCAGAATCTGCACTGAAAGCTACACTGGACCAAACAATATTTTCACAGAGACTAAGCTCCCGAGCTCAAAGGCAGCTGCTCCGCTCTCTTCTGCTGCGGCGACAAGTGGAGATGGCACTAGGCTCACCCTGCAGTGTTGTGAAGAGCTCCTTTTCTTGCTCTGATCAGTTTTCCTCTGTGTGCCACAGGAGCTACTGATAAAACTCAGTAAACTCTTCGTATATAGGGAAGCAACATGCTTAGCATAAACATTCACAGGATTCAAAGTGCTGCAGTTACAAGATTAAATGAAGCTGCGTACGCTCACGCTCGCGGCTCTATCCGGTGGGAGAGCTCAAACAGAGCTTGCTGGTTGTCGATGACATGCAGGTGATGGACGTATGGCTTCAGCTCATGATGCTCTTTTGAAGGAACTTCATTGCCTGCAAGAGAGGAGACAGGGGATGAGCCAGCTGTGCCGTGCCAACTTCAGGGCTCTGTGCACTGGCATCACACCTCCAAGTCCTGGGCGTGCCAACGTGTCCAATGACACATAACTCACAAAAAAAGGCTGCCAGTGACCGAAAGGACTTGCTACTTAACTACAACACCTGAGGTATCAGCTAGGCATGGAAAAAGGGTGAACAATGCAAATAGGAGGTGACGCTGCTCTGAGGGGATGGCAAGGGCTGCCTGTGCCTGCGCGGACGGTTTCCTCCTGCCAGGGGCTGGGACAATTTGTCCCTTGTAAGAATGGTTCAACGTTTCCTTTGTGCTGCTCCGGCAGCACAGAGAGGCCTTGAGCAGGCTCGTAACTTTTAAACAATCTCAACACAAATACACAAGACAGCAGGGCCTTGAATCACTTCCTTGGGAGAAGGGGAAAGGTGACAGCAGAGCAGATGGATACTAAAGCTCTTCAAAGCTCTTCTGACAGGCCCCTGGGCTTTGATCTGTCATGCTTTTGATTTCTGATCTAGCAGGAGAGATGACAGTCAGGCTGCTGTGTCATGGGAGCGTGCATGGCAGGAGGAATTAGCCGTGGAGCAGACAAACCAAAGGGTGGCTGCAGCAGCAGCTGTGATGTGCCACCATCTCCAGGCCCAATTCTGACCGGTGGGAACCCAAAGCCTCCCAGCATGGCTGGCCACCCACAGAAATGGAGGTGGAAGAGCTAAGCTCACTGCTATTGGGACCCAGTATAGCTGGCAGGGAAGACACAGAGACACGTTGCCTGCAGAAGCCTGGCAGGCTATCCACAGTTGGAGAGCTCTGTTTTAGTCTATGTCCTCAAGGAATTCTTAATGCCATTACCATAAATTAAAAAGAAAAGAAAAGAAAATGCAAAAATCCCTACACCAATGAGCCTAGCTGCATGCTCCCTCCCTCTCTTGTTTCATTATCATCCACTATGTCCTCAAGGAATTCTTAATGCCATAACCATAAATTAAAAAGAAAAGAAAAAAAATGCAAAAATCCCTAAACCAATGAGCTTAGCTGCACGCTCCCTCCCTCTCTTGTTTCAATATCATCCATTTTTCCATATACTGCAGCTAAAGGAGAAGTCTTTCAGGACATGACCACCCTACTTTGTAAGGAGTCCCATCTGAAGCTGTGCAAGTAACACAGGGTGCCAATACAGCCCACTTTTTGTGCCACTGCTAAAGGTGCTCCTGGGCAGCTACTCTTGAGGGCGATTTCTAAGTGTTTGTCTGACCTCAGGGACGTGGCAGAGAATCAGATAACGTGATAAGTATGTGTCAGAATGTCAGACTTGCTAGGGAGTAAGTTCGCGGCATCTGTACTGAGCGTACTGAGAATTATTTACATTCTAACTAAAACCTGAAATTACAAAAGCTTCAATTATGTGATTTGTTCAGGCTGCTTTGCCTGATTTTGGAAGTGCTATGATTTGTTTTCAGGATTTAATGTATTAAAGTATTACTTCCATTAAAAAGGCATTTCAGACTCACTTGCCAACCTAATCAGCTTCTAATCCAGAAAGACTCGGCCCTGCTTACTTAATACACATGATATAGTTCATAAACAATAATAATATTCCTTGCTTGATTTGGTTTGAATTCTTTCCTACAGTTAAGAGGCCTGCTGCTCTTAGGCCAATCTGGGAGTTGATGCAGTAGAAAGATTCATATTCCTGATAACAAAATAAGCCCACTAGAAAAGGAAGCTGTCCATAAAGTCTCAATAAATATTCAGTGAATTCATTTCATGCCTAAACAAATTTAACAAAAAAATATTGCCTACAGGGATATCTGTATAAGCTGCTTTTAAAATGCCAGCTTCACAATAAATCAAGTCTGCGGTAAGATAAAATAACAATCATCTACTTCAAACTACCATATTATATGATAAATCTCGGGTATTAACCTTGGATTTATGTTGCAACACTTGCAAAACTACTTTTAAAAAATAGCAAAAATGAGTGGAAAGATTTTTTTTTCTTTGTAAATAAACAGTAAAAATCCACACCATTAAAAGGAAACAAGACTGCCATTTAAAATGCCAAATAAGAGAGAAATTCAAACTTATAAAGATACGATTTGGATCAATTAATATTCTTTCAGTATCAGGTTTAAAAGAAGACATGTGTGTATATATATATACGTATATATATATATATGCACACACATACATCTACATATATAGTGCATATGCTCTTTTCTCCATATAAATAACAAAAGAATTGTAATAATAAGAAGCCTTTGTTATAAAGAAAAAAAGCTGGTAAGTATACAAGACCATCCTATGTAGAACAAACATTCAGCAGAGCTACTAACAGCACCTCTTGTTCTCCAAGGTGTAGGTATTTGCACACAAAGCTATTATTATTCTTTTGTCAAAAATCCAGCCGACAGTTATTGAAAATCTAGCCAGAAAAAAAACCCCAAACAATCAATTCAGCTTCCTTTTTTTTTTTTTTTTTAAATCCATGAAGATTCTGCATTAACACAGTTTTGTGTTAACACACTACAACACAGTTTTGAAGTTCTTTTTGGAAAAGGGATTTTATCGACCTCAGTAAAAACCTCTAAAACAGTTAAAACCTCTAACTACTTTTTAAAGCAGTGCTGTGCTTGTCCCCTTCCTGTGCTTAACCTCCTTGCAGCACAGGTCGTGCAGAGGAGGAGAAAAACAAGATTTCTCCTCTGTGAACAGCAGAACAAAGAATGCTAGAGTCTTTTGGCACATTTCCTAAGGATTGGATTCTCTCGTGTCTAGTAAAATAGAAACACCAAAGAAAGCACTTCCTGCATCAAAAGCAAGGGGAACAAAAAAAAAAAGCACATATCTGCATAGAGTCTGTAGTGTTTAAAACAGTCCCATAGGATCCTTAGTTCATATAATCTTACTATCTTCCAGACTTCTGCTGTTTTGTGAAATGTCCTTAGCAAACCCAACAAAGCAAACAAAACATAAATATCTGTTTGGTCTTCGTAGAACTCGGAGAAAAGCCAGAGTAATGAACACCCTCTCTCAGCTACTGGATGTTATGACAGTTTTGAATCTATTACCATAACTCTTAGACTTGCAGAAGAGATTAAGGTAACTCAGTTGTAACTGGGAAAGTAAGAAACTACATTTAAGTGTAGTTGGCATTGACCTTATCCAACATTATGAAGAGATGATAATTTTTTAAGAAAAATAATTTTATGAAAATCTAGAAACTGCTTCTATGAATGTTTTTTAAAGTAAAACTGCTGAAACTGCTCTTTTGACCTTCCATCAATGACTCCCTGCTTTTGCCGATCTAGAAACTGCTTCTATGAATGTTTTGTAAAGTAAAGCTTTTGACCTTCCATCTCTTTTGATCTTCCATCAATGACTCCCTGCTTTTGCTGCTGGTTAAATAATTAGCAACTATGTTTTACTGAGGAAGTAAAACTAAAAAGTAGAAACAAAAGACAAAAAGTCAGGGCTGGAGAAAGACAAAAAAGTAGCAAATTCTGCCTACTCACCAAACTGGTTATTTCTGCAGTGTCTCAATGATCGAACGGTATCTGCAATCATATGCTGCAAAGACAAAACATAAAATGTCAGTGCAAAAATCTCAGATGGATTCTGTAATTAAAAAAAAATCATAAAAAGCCTTTCTTTGCCTTACACTGTACAGCAACAAAACCCTGTAATGAGGTAAAAATGAGGATAGTGGAATATGGACAGAAAGGCCATTTTGCTCTTAGGCTTAGTGATACCATTTAATGAAACAGGGTTAGTCCAGAAGGCCCTTGTTGACATTACATAGACCAAATGAGAACTCCGTAGGAGCCCATGGAAAGCAGTCATATAATTACTTAACTTTGTTCCTGTGATTTTCATTAAACTGAAAATCTACAGTAGGGAAGTCTTTTGGAAAAAAAACAGCTAGTTGACTTAGAGCTTCTGGATTCATATCTTGGCTTTAATGCATTATCCTGGGTGTTGGATATTTTGCTATGTCTTCTTCCATCTCCCTCGTCTAACTAGACTGTAAGCTCTTTGTGGCACAGGCTACACCTCTACATATCGCTGTATGGTGCCTGGCACAGTCAGGTCCCAGTACCAGCCAGGTCTTTTTGGCAGTGTGATGCCAACACACAAAAATAACAGCCCACAGGCTAAATGCTATAGAGTACTCTGACATCGCTGCAGACATGTACAAAAGAAGGCCACGCTATGGGTATACTGTTTTAGGAAAAGGTAGTACTAACAGAAAGATATTACTCTCATTCCCTCTTCAGAATGATTCTGAGAATAACTTAATCCTTTTATGACACATTAAACTTCACTGAATATTATATCATGTGGACAAATCCATGTGCAAATACAATAAGGTATTTGCTCCCTGCTACACCCATGAGCTGCCTGCCTGAAGAAAACAGAACAAAACTCAGCCCAAGTTAATTTTAACAGCAAGTTGCATTTAGGAAGAAAATGCGCACATGAGCCAATACTTGATGATTTTTTTCTGTTTGTTTTATTGACCTTCCCAACCAGTGAAGAGGAGTCTTTAAACTGCACTGAGCAGCAATGATACAGCATCTTAGGGCAACAGCTGAAGTTCTTCCTCACATTTCCCTCAAAAATAATCAGAGGTGGAAAAGATTAGCTGTCTTGAGTAGAGTATGTTTAAGATGTGAATAATGTAAAACAGCTCATCCATCAACACCCAGAGTGGTTTGTCCACAGAAAAAATTATCACAAAAAAAAGAAAAAAAAACAGAGTACAAGTTTAATGAGGACTTTGTGTTCTTTTCAAACACCAGTGACACAAAATCATTTTTCTTGTTAGTTGCTGTGCTTCATTTGCCATGAAATCATGCAATCTCTTGTGCTGATGTCTCTCTCTTGCACTAATTATAATGAAGTTCCAATAAGATGTCCTAGATTTCATGGTAAATGGTGTGAGCCCTGGGAGTGCTACAGCTTCCACCAGTGCTGCTGCTGTCAGGATGCTTTCCAGCTGAAACCCTTGTCTCAAATTTGGCTTTTAGAAGTAAGAGATACCCCACTAGTGACACACAGGGCCATTCTTTGCAGTTTCTCCTTTGTTGCTCAGTGTGGGGGCCACACATCCAACACTGGCTTTTGAAGTTGATGCCTGAGGATGAAGACCCTCTTTGTGCAAAACAACACCTTGCCTCTCCACTAGCAAGTCTCAGTCTAAGCACACAATCAAAAGGCAAGGCAGGCTCTATCACTGAGAAGGATTAATCCTCCTAATTGGGTTTAAAAGGGATAGAAAAAACAAGTGAAAGAACAAAAATAAATCAGCTGAGTTGCATCAAAAACTTGAACAAGACTTCTCAATATGAAGCTTCAAGTAACAGAATCCCCAGGAGAGTGAAAAACTGGAGAGAGGGGAATTTGCTGAGGATAAGCAGAAGCACCAAGAACCTCAGGCAGCTCTTACATGGTAGCACCATGGAGTATACTAGAGTGGGTTACAGAAACAAGATAAACAGGAGCCCTTCAGCTTCCACTTCCTGAAGTATTTTCAGGCTAATTATTGAGCATAGCATCTTTAGAAGTAGCTGAATCTGCAAACTGATCTTAATAGACACCCAAATGGTTACTAATTTTTTGATGTCTTAAATTATGTGTTTTGCCCTTTCCTTTGCACACCCCTCTAAATCACAACCTGTAAGTGAACAGAAAGAAAGCACCATCTTTATAAAAGGGTTAGATATCTCTAATGCCTGAAGGAGCAGTGGGATGCTTTCTCATAATTAAGATACACTAATCACAGGGCTATACAGTATTTGCAGATCAGCATCTGTGTTGACTAGCCACAGGTATGAGAAACTTGAATGGTAAGAGGATATTTAATGAATGCCCTCTCCAGATAGATGGTTTTGTGACTTTCTTTGCAGTTTTCCTGCATCTTTGAACTGCAAAAACAGTTCAAGTATTTGTGCTGGTGTAAATGAGATTACAAAGCCTGGCAAGCCTCATATGAGCTTTCCTTAGTCAGATCGTAATTGCATTGTTCTCATTTCGCTTCCCAACAGAAGATACTAATGAAATTATACTAAGAAAAAATGTTCTCACACTGGCAAAAAAATTGGTCTTAAAATATAACAACACTGGCAGAAAAACAAAAACAAAATCCAATATACTAAAATCCAATAATGCTTAATTAATACCATTAAGCTATGATTAAGCTATGATGTCTGCTTTTAACAGCTCTTCTATTCTTACAGATATCCAGGTCTCTGCCAGATATCCAGTAGTGTCTTAAGTCTGCTGTGTGAAAGATGCCTTACAGACCTTGTTGCATCAATATAAATCATAATTATGCTTTTTCGGTGCTAGAATCACTAACAGAATGGTTTTAAAAGATCCATCCTTAACAAAACTTGAGCAGTAGCCTCCACTCAGCCTACTTGTTCTCTTTCAATGATAGCTTGGTCCATTTTCCCT